GGTCACATTTCAACATATTGCCACACCTTAAACAATCTCGTTGGCAAAAAAACTAACAGGCGAAGCGGCGTAAGAATTAACTCTCTTTTCTCCAAATCTGAAAGAAAAACGGAGGTGCTGTATATCACTATATATCACTATGGACTGTATATCACTATGGACCTTAAGGTGGCAGACGAATCTAATAAGTACAAGCTTTTGATTGGAGGATACAGAGGCTCGGCTGGTGACTCAACGGCTGCGGTGCTACATCCAGCTCAGTAAGAAACTCGCCGTGATTATTTAATTTTAATTCCGCCCTACAATTTTTTTTACTTTGACCTTCCCTAGGAGAATGTAATAAAATGACTACACAACAACTTCTAATTAGAAGAGTTAATACGCATTAGTCAGGAGAAACGGCGTAGGAGTTAAATGGAGATTAGAGAAATTCCCATAATCTGAAATGAAATACATCATAACACAGGTACTCTTGGAAAGTTATGGGGGTCTTCTTTGAGCTAGTGTTATATTACCATACGTATGATGCACGATCCTCGCAGTAGATAGCGCTATTTAAGCAATAGCGAAAATTAGACCTGAAAAAATTCAGGTCGATACGGGATTCGAACCACTGACCTCTGCGATACTAATGCAGCGCTCTACCAATTAAGCTAACAAGCCAACTGGGAGCAGGCCGTTATATTACCGTAGAACAACTACTGAGCCCTTTCGGCGAATATCTCAGGGAAGAGGTGGAAGGGGGAGAGGGACGCCATAAGTGAGACTTGAAAGGTCGCACAGAAGCCGATGCGTGCCAGCCGTCATTTCATTGAAGAAGACAGTGCTGCCACAGGTGACTCTATGACACATCCAAAGGAGCAAAAGCATTTCCGAGTTAATTTATTCTAACTACATGGCTGCTTGGTTTACCATTAATGCTAGAATGAGGTGTCGCCGGTTAGAGAAAGCGAGAAGGTGCCATAGATAGGGGAGGGCGTATTTTAAGGAGACACCTATTTTGTTGGCTAACTGTAGCCCAAATGTGTTACTGACATCACTTCAAACAAACACTTATTTTAACTCTGAAAGATGAAACTGAAACGGATGGAACATAGATCTGCCTGCATTGATGATGTTCACTCTTTGCTCTCACTTTTAGTTTACTTACACCAACACTGTCCTGTTGTTGCCTCATTTGATGTACATTTATCTGCCACCTTGCGTCAAACTTTGGTTCCTAGAACAACTGGTGACTATAACGTCACACCAAATTCTGTTGACTAACTATTTGTGTTTTGTAAGTTTATAGCAACATGAAGTTTTCAACGAAGGGTAAAGACTATGATGGCCATCAAAATAACTGTGCCATTGAATGCAAAGGAGCTTGGTGGTACAGCGACTGTCACGATTCAAATCTGAATGGATTGTACCATAGAGGCCCACATGATTCCCACGCCGATTGAGTCAACTGGAAGAAATTTCGAGGCTACTATTATTCATTAAAACGCACTAATATGATAATTAAGGCTCATGTGAAAAATCGCTGTTGTAGACGGGTTAGCTATTAACCAAACCATAATCTGTTCAGCATTAGCATCGAAACATTTTGACCCGTATGTAAATACAAGAGGGACCATGACCATGACAGTTTTAGATAACATATATAAGTACAGCAACAAATCCCTTTTTGCACTCTATATCTCTTGTTTTTGGCCGAGATCTTAATAAAGAAAGATTGCAACGATTTCATAATTGTGTTAAGGATTTATCATTCTATGCAATATGAGCAGAAAGTTTGCAGCACAACTAGTAGAAAATAGAGTTAGGAAGACAACACAGCTGGCCATTTTTAGTTGTTCTTGTCGGTTTCTCCTGACTGCCTGTCTGTCGATCTGTCTGTCTATCTGTTTATCTGTCTATCTTTTTATCTGTCTGTCGGTATGTCTGTCTGTCTATCTGGCTGTCTATCTGACTGTCTGCCTATCTATCTATCTATCTATCTGTCTGTATTTTTTTTCTGTCTGTAAGTCTGCCTATGTATCTTTCTGTCTGTCTGCCTATCTGTCTGTCTGTCTGTCTGTCTATCTGTCTGTCGATTTGTCCGTCTGTCTGTCCGTCTATCTTTCTGTCTGTCTGCCTATCTGTCTGTCTGTCTCTGTCTGTCTGCCTATCTGTCTGTCTGTCTGTCTATCTGTCTGTCGATTTGTCCGTCTGTCTGTCCGTCTATCTTTCTGTCTGTCTCCCGATCTGTTTGCCTGTCTGTCTGTCTGTCTGTTCATCTATCGTTCTGTCTGTCTGTTTAGATAGACCGTGTTTTATCAAAATCACCTTGCAGTCTTACAACTGAATTACGTGAATTTACAACAAATTGTGAAAGAAATCGTATAAAACGCAAAAACTTATCTATTAATTCATCCTAGGTAAAAGTATAAAAATTCATCTAATTATTTAATTATACATGAGTTCGTTGGTGCACTTATAAACAAATGAGTCAGCCAGTCTCTTCGTTTCAGTGGATGGTAGTTGATTTTTCCGTTTCTTAAAAGGTTGTATGCTGGCTTGTTAGAGGCTGGAATTAGGTCGTGGATCTTGCTAGACGGGTTGTTAGCTGTTGACTGAAAGATTGGCAGAGTCAGGTTTTCTTGATGACCTCATAGGTTGTCTATTCCTGTAAGTTCATTGAAGGGCATTTGTGTATGATATCCTCGGGAGAATGCACAAGAGAGCTCTCCTCTGAGCTCTGTCTAGTCAACTTGTAGATAGTAAGTAAGTAAGTTAAGTCTTTAATTAGTGAGGGTAGCACGAAATTGCATCTTAATGCTAATAAAATAGTGGCCCTCATTACAAGATGTTCATTACAAGATTAAAATAATTAAAAATCAAGGCTTACAATAAAGTATCAAATATCTATAAAACTATAAAACAATTATAACCATGTGGCACAATATTTAGAAGGAAAAATGATTTAAAAATTGCTGATCTTTAGTAGTGGGTGTAATTAGGTAGTTAGGTCTATCTGTCTATCTTTCTGTCCGTCAATCCGTCTATCCGCCTGTTGGTCTGTCAGCCTGCCTATCTGTTTGTCTGTCTGTCGGTTTTTCTGCCTGTCTATCTGTCTGCTTGTCCATCTGGGCGTTCACCTATTTTTCTGTTCATGTGATTGTCTGAATTTATTTTTTCTACTTGTAATCCCTTGCTTCTGCCTCTGTTTAACAAATGGTAAACACCACAGCGTACACTATTGAGTTATGGATGCACGCGGGAGGTTGCTAAGCACGAAAGAAGTGTAAGAGTTGCTCGAGGCGATAGCCGAGAGCGACTCTAGCTTCTTGAGTGCTTAGCAAACCTCCCAAGTGTATCCATAACTCAATAGTGTACGCTGTGGTGTTTACCATTTGTTTTATAACATAACATTGATACATTGTAGCTAAAGAGTTCCCTTTTATTTAACAAATCTTACG